TGTATATATATAAGAGAGAGGGATATAGAGATAAAGTATAAATGCTTAATCAGATTAATAAGCAGGAATTAGTATTGTTTGCACGTATACTATCTCTTTACGACCGAGTTAGTTTGATATTTGAATTTGTCATAGAGTACAGATTTATAATAAAATAAAGGATAAACACTTTTGTTATTAGGGATAAACTTTTTAGGCAAAAGGGGGTTTTATCAGTTTCCAAATCATCAGTGCGGGGTTTTCAAAACAATCCAGAAAACGACTTGTACGTCAGTGTTCATAAAATTGTCAATGCCGCCCAGCATCACCAAATACTCCAAAAGGAGTCCAGAGTAGTGATTGAAATAGAATACCTCAACACAATCTAAAAAATAACCAAGAGTAATCTGAACCTTTTCTATTGATAGATACAAAATTAGATTTCTATAAAAAAATTCGGTTTGCAAATTGTTTTGCAATTCTTTAAAAGAATTGGGGCCCCAAAATCAAATTGTATTGAAAATCGCAAAACAATCTGCAAAATGATTTTTCAAATTCATTTTAGAGAAAAATTTCGCCCGGTGCAGGGTTTTTTTTATGAAGATTTCTACAGAGCCCCCTAAATTGTACATCTAAAGAATTGAATTCTTTTTGCAACAAATTCTTTGAACCGGTGCGGGGCGGGTAGGCTTGTCAAGTGGTTTTAGTCATAAATATTTTAGTCATAAGGGAATTTTAGTCATAAAATTTAGGCATAATAAGGCAAGAGACAAGACACAAAGGAGGTTTTAGTCATAATTTTTAGTCATGAGGTTTATAGTCATAATTTTTAGTCATAAAGGTATTTAGGCTATTAGAGTAATCAATTCTAAATTGATAGTACAACTAGGGTTTGTGAGCAATATACACTCGGGCCATGTACTTGGAAACATCCCCCAGTTGCCCCAGGGAATAACAACTAAAATGTGACTTTTCGTACTTACCTTGTAAACGATGATATATCGTGTTCACTTCGTTTATTTGTACTACGGAGTACCATCACAATTGTGGGTTCTTCTATTTGATTGAATGCTGTCACATGTGTTTTCTGAGAAGCGAGATAATATTGCTTCTGCGAGCGTCTTTTAAGACATCGTACCATCGCATCTATGGGTTTTCCTAGTCGTGTGGTGAATTGTTATATCCGTGTTTATCTTTTGTCAATGTATTGAATTCCATTTAATCCCTTAATTTAATCGCATTCCTGTTTTTTCCCTAGACTATATAAAACTGAAAACCAGTGTGTGGTCCTGATCTACCTAACAAATGCGGTAGAACACATACACACCAACACCTACACATTGCATCGAAGAGATTAAATATATTCATAGTACTACTTGCACATTCTCGATACTATATACACCTTCATAGTGTTATTTACAAATTTAATGACATCAAATCGGGGTTGTTTATCTTTTCATAGTGTTATTTGCATATTTAATGACATCAAATCGGGGTAGTTTATCTTATAGGTACACATAATACACATCACAGTCTCCCCATACACTCGTGAGTCTCAGCTACGCATCCAGCACGCAGGGGGACGAGATGGTCTGGATTTGGTTGGAGCGTCCGGTTGCACACTGACCGGCCATGCACTGAATGTACGACGACGGCGCTGTGCCTTCATACAACACCTCCGCGCATTGCGCTGACATGACATCGCCACTGCACGATAGCGCCTCATAGCGTGTGTCCTCAGAACAGGCTGTGTGCCGGATATATAGATAGGGGGGAGGGGCGTTGGTAAGTATTTGTGCGTATACAAGAGCAGTTCCAATTGTGTGCGTGTGATGGAGGTGGTAAACTGTGGGCACCAGTGCAAGGTTTGAATTTTATGTACTATGCATGAGCAGTACTGCTGACAACAGGAGGCATGTATGTACTATGTTGCAGTAGATCCTAAGCCACCCGAAGGGGATGAGTCTACACGAGAGGGGCAATCGACACATAAGTTATTCTAAGGCCAAAGGTATCGCCAATGACTTACGTGTGGGGCGACACGAAAGGTTTAGCAGAGTTTGAGTATGCCCACGCACACACATTTGTGTATATGGCAAAGACAATTGTGTACCCGTAGAAGTTCTGTACTTAAACCATGAACTAGAAGCGTGCCTATACTACAAATAACACAACCTTTGCAGATGCCTCCAGAGACTTTAGTATAGTCACATAGCTAATAGCATTTGCTCATGGCCCACACTTGTACAATGGAAGGAGCACCATGTGCGACCTTGGTATAAATACTATGACACGAAAACACCGTTACAGAGGTACATTACAAAGTACATATACTGAGTTGTGACACGAGAGTGCTCAAGAAGTAATAGCACCTGCGTACATGCACTGCAGTGGAGTGAGTACTTATAGGTACTGTTTTATATTACTTACGTGCGCACACAGTGACCGATGACTCTGTGGTTTCCAGCGCTCCGAAGAACGCGGAGGTGGTGGTGGCTGTGGCTGTGCGAGTGTATGGTCCAAACCCATACACACATCCAAACGAGGGCCCCTGCACAGCGCACGCATACGCCCCCCATTGCGAAGCACTCAGAGGTTCCGAACTGTCCTTCTTCTGGCAAAGTCGCAGTGTCGTGGGACATCCCAGGCCCCTGCTGTTGCTGCACCCGGCTGCTGTGCACAGGATGTTGGCAGCAGGTGTGGCGGTGGTCATGGTGTTGTAGAACGTATCACACAGCTGGCAGGCGAACCCATCCCATGCATACCCACCCACACACCGCTTGCTGGGGCACGTGGGCACCCCATCCACGGAACACTGTGCGTCGCTGCACCCAGGACTAGCCAGACACGGCACGCACACCCCATCCTTCATGTAGCCCTTGCCACTCTCCACGAGATCACACGACAAAGCAATGAACGTCCACGTGCCACGGTCCCACTTATCCCAGGTGATGGTGTCCATGTCCTTGTTCTGAAAGGCCACCTGCTGTGTTCGCAGTCCAGCGCCACTCAGCACCTGCGGTATGGCCTGTGCTGTCTGCGCCACGCGTAGCACGTCTTCGTGTGCGCAGAAGAACACTAGCACGTCCGTCTCACGGTTGTCTCTGACGTACAGACTCTCCAGGTGGAAGCTGTCGTCGCTGAGACCCATTATGCTGCTAACATCGTACAGATACAGCATCGCTTCATCGTGGTCAAACACGAGGCCCACTACAAACTCCACATAACCCCCGTCGCAGAACCCAGGTGCATCGCTAACCACGACTGAGGGGGCCTTGTCCTTCTTCTTCTTCTTCTTATTCTTCTTCTTCTTCTTCTTGTCATCGTCATCGTCATCGTCGTGCCCCGAGGGTGGGTAGTATGGCTTTTCGGCATCGTCAGATATGTATACATCGTTGTCGTGGTCGTATGTATCCTTCTTCTCATCATCATCGTCGTCTCCTACCGTGGGGTCGTATGTGTTAAAGTGGCAAGTACAATTAATTACTTGCTGTTATCTTTCATCTGGGTCATGGTACATGTAAATGCTACAGAATTTATACCATGTTTACAAATGTAATGTACTGCATATGTGGTAAAAGTATATGCTATTGAGTATACGTTGACAAGCATTGCTGCGTGATGAAGGGTTCTACTTTACCCATTCGTTATTCCCGGTTATCATATGCGTATGTGTGGCAATTTGAATGATTATTGCGTACAATCTACAACAGAGAGATATCATGCGTGTTCTCTATTTGGGGATGAACATGTGTGATGAGAATAATTTCAGCTACTGGTTTGTCAACGATAAATACAAGTGCAGTGAAAGCATCTCAAATCCAGTACTTAAAATTCTTATAGGTAAACTATTAAAGAAGGTGAATCTAATACAATTGGTGATCGATCAAGTCAATACACGACTATGATAGAAGTAAATAGAGTATACTTTTATGGATATACATATATATATTTCGATATATATATATATATATATATATATATATCGATATACTTGTATATATATGCAAGCACACATATGATCTTAATATACATACATACATACATATATATATATGTATGTTTGTACCAATATATGAATGTTTGTATATACACTTCGATATATTTAT